ATAACACACCACTTCAAGCATATGCTTTCTCCTGTCTTAGGAGCTCTTTGTGGCCATATTGCAACTAGTTTAATGAAATTAAAATGAACACTCTAGAGTTCTTGAGATCCTGCATTTGCCCAAGAGTGTTCTCATTCTCCCTCCAGACAATGCGTGCTGAGTAGGGAATTAAACCAACTTTGGGTTGCTAGACTACAAGCCTTACCAAGGTGTAATGTGCAAATGTCCCTCTTCCCAGCCATGCATATTGTGAGTATGAGGATATAAAAAAACAGAGTACTGGAACTGCAAACTTTGTATCACCCAAGTCCTTTAACACCATGGTACCGGGGGTACTGGGAGATTGCTTTAGAACTGTTAATAAGCTCCACCTGGGCAGCATTAGAACCAGGGGACTAAGAGACCCAAGCCCCTAGCACTGTAATTATATCACCTTTCATCCCATCAACCATGTGGTAAGGGGGAGTGCTGGCAAACATTTGCTCAGCTTGTTATTTTCCTCCTCCTTGCTCCTTGTACACGAGTGGAGAAAAGGTGTAAAATTGTGGAATTTTCAAAACGATAACCAATGTTATTCAACTTTCACAGGTATATTGGGATCTCACACATGTTTATTTTTTTGCGCATAGAAGTACGGAGATGCCTGCAATGCCACAGCAGCGAATGCAAGCTTAATCATGTGAAACATAGTAAAACAAATGCATGGCATTAGAGAGGTCAGCACACTTTTTTGTAAAAATTATAGTCAAGGAAACAGACATGTCTTAACAAAAAACTAAAGTTGATTAAGAATAGTGAAAATCAAATAGACATGAAATTATCCCATATGAAGGAACCACTGGGTGCAATTCAGTGTAATAAAACCAGACTGATTTGGTATTGAGTTCATCATGCTAGTGAGAAAGGGAGAGAAAGCATATATCAGCTGGTAGCGAAAAGAAGATAAGTAAGTATCATGCTATATAAACTGACAGCTTGATTAATGACAGTACCAGTTGGTAATAAAGGAAATCACTAGCATAGCATAAACTACATAGTAAAGGGTTACATAGTATGTAACCCTTCTTAGTTATCCTAAAGAGTGCTCTCGATAGATGGAGGTGTCAGCAGGATTTGTCACCTGACACCACAGGTAGGCCAGAAGAGAAAGTCCAGCTGTACACCAGGACTTTTTTCCCCACCCTTCTTTAACAAGCATGATAGAGATTGTGAAGAGCCGAGATGTTTGTAAATTAGTCATTTGTAGTGCGATCCGTGCAGGGCCGGCCTTAGACCTTTCGGCACCCTGTGCGAAAAATCTTCACAGCGCCCCCTCGTCATCAATGTATAGTGTGTGTGTATAGGAGTGTAGTGATTGTATAGGGGATTTATTAAATTAATAATGATTTAAAAACAAATATTCATTCCTCCTTTCTTGTTGTTACCTAGTTGGGAGACGGCCATGCTGATCGTAATCTAGTCTGCCCCTCCACTAGGTACAGACCATGCGTAACTGTCTCACATGTTCAGGGACTTGCAGTATTCTCTAGTAATCTGCGGCAGTGTTCTGATTCTCCCGAGCTAGGAAGACAGCTACTTATGGTCTGCAGCCAACAAAAGTGCAGGCCAGATGTGCCAGACTGCCTCCCCTACATTACAGATGGGCAGACTAAGTATGTCACATAATACTGTGAGTGGTTTTGCATTGGAACTCTGAATTATACTTATTTACCTTGACTTCTTTGGAATAAAAATTTGTAGTAATGTGCTACTTCTCCATTTATCACAGAGCTCCACAACAATAAAACTCCCAGTAATGTGGAGCTCTGTGACAAGATCATACACTACACAACAATACAACTCTAAGTAATGTGTCTATTAGTGTATCACAGAGCTCCCTAACTATAAAACACAGAGTAATGTGCATTTTATATACCAGAGTTCCACTGTAATACATCTCACTAGAATATGATGTAATGTTTGTGTTGTCTGTGTATGTGATAGGTGTGATGACTGTGTGTGATATGTATGCCGTCACATTTTATTTTAGTCCTTGCATTTTTTGACCTGTAACTTTCAAAATAAGCTGAAATCCTATACATATTGTGTACTCTATAAATAAACTGGCCTCTTGCCACACATAACAGTTGATGGGACTGGGATATTCCTTACTATTTACTTATTAAGAAGACGTGGGGTCCACGCATTTGAGTGTTATCGTTTATATGCTGTCTACCCAGAGTCCCTTCACAAGAAGAGTTTCACTGGGTCCTAGGATTAATATGCTGGGAATCTCTTTCCACTGGAAATATTTAAAAGTAATAAAACTATGCATGAACCTTAAAGTGACTCTGTCAAATTTTCATTTTTTTATTTTTATTTTTTGCCTAACATAGTCCTCAATCTAATATTTTTGGATAAGCTTCTAAACTTATATTTTCAAAATATTAAAATATCAAAAATATATGTAGAACTATATCAATATATAAACAAAAATCTAAATATTACAACATGAAATGCTTAACAAATAAAAAGATTGGATATAGAAAAAAATATAATATATATATATATATATATATATTTATATATAAAATATATATAGTGCAAACCTTATATGATAACACGTTCTTGCTATATTTGCTTTTAACTTGAAAAAATTGTTATTATCTAGGTGAAGGATTCAATCATGGTTTCTCTGAGCAAAAACTTCTCAGGGATGTAATCCATATTATATTACAAATTCCAAGATGAATCCTAAAATATCTAAATAAAAACAATTGCTATACTTGGGGAAATATGCAGGTACAGAAGATTTAGGAATCTTCATCTTCCATAGGGTAATGACTGTCCAAGAATTAAGTTTCCTTAGTAAAATGTTTAATTTATTACTCTACAGTTAGGGTAACCAGCAGTAAATGACACAGACACCTGACTTTTATACAATTATATAATTTATCTTAGATAATTTACAGATGTAATTTTCATTACCTATGTGAGGTCCAGATTTTTCTATTTCCTAGGCCTAGATGGGAAATACTTGTGTATTAGGGAGGATAGATAGGTGGGAGCAGCATTATGTAGAGATTTGAAAGCAAGAACCAGAATTTTAAATTGAGCCATATATCTTACAGGAAGCCAATGTAGGGACTGACAGAAGGGTGAGGCGTGGGAGGTTGAGAATTTTAGTGAGAGGTAGAGAAAGAGAAGAAGACAGAGTACGGATTAGATGCGAGGGAATTGGATCTAGGGAGCAGGTGGTGGGGCGGGAGGACTGGTAAAATATTTATAAAATATTTTACCAGAAATGTTAAGTGTAATGGCGATCCAATCTATTAATTATTTTGTAAATGTAAAAAAAACAGATACAATTCGTATCTTGTAATACCTTTTATATTAGACTAACATCATTTTTTAATGACAAGCTTACAGGAGAACCTCCCTTCCTCAAGTCTAAAGCATTGCTGAGCAAGACGACACATACAGGGAGTGCAGAATTATTAGGCAAGTTGTATTTTTGAGGATTAATTTTATTATTGAACAACAACCATGTTCTCAATGAACCCAAAAAACTCATTAATATCAAAGCTGAATATTTTTGGAAGTAGTTTTTAGTTTGTTTTTAGTTATAGCTATGTTAGGGGGATATCTGTGTATGCATGTGACTATTACTGTGCATAATTATTAGGCAACTTAACAAAAAACAAATATATACCCATTTCAATTATTTATTATTACCAGTGAAACCAATATAACATCTCAACATTCACAAATATACATTTCTGACATTCAAAAACAAAACAAAAACAAATCAGTGACCAATATAGCAACCTTTCTTTGCAAGGACACTCAAAAGCCTGCCATCCATGGATTCTGTCAGTGTTTTGATCTGTTCACCATCAACATTGCGTGCAGCAGCAACCACAGCCTCCCAGACACTGTTCAGAGAGGTGTACTGTTTTCCCTCCTTGTAAATCTCACATTTGATGATGGACCACAGGTTCTCAATGGGGTTCAGATCAGGTGAACAAGGAGGCCATGTCATTAGATTTTCTTCTTTTATACCCTTTCTTGCCAGCCACGCTGTGGAGTACTTGGACGCGTGTGATGGAGCATTGTCCTGCATGAAAATCATGTTTTTCTTGAAGGATGCAGACTTCTTCCTGTACCACTGCTTGAAGAAGGTGTCTTCCAGGAACTGGCAGTAGGACTGGGAGTTGAGCTTGACTCCATCCTCAACCCGAAAAGGCCCCACAAGCTCATCTTTGATGATACCAGCCCAAACCAGTACTCCACCTCCACCTTGCTGGCGTCTGAGTCGGACTGGAGCTCTCTGCCCTTTACCAATCCAGCCACGGGCCCATCCATCTGGCCCATCAAGACTCACTCTCATTTCATCAGTCCATAAAACCTTAGAAAAATCAGTCTTGAGATATTTCTTGGCCCAGTCTTGACGTTTCAGCTTGTGTGTCTTGTTCAGTGGTGGTCGTCTTTCAGCCTTTCTTACCTTGGCCATGTCTCTGAGTATTGCACACCTTGTGCTTTTGGGCACTCCAGTGATGTTGCAGCTCTGAAATATGGCCAAACTGGTGGCAAGTGGCATTGTGGCAGCTGCACGCTTGACTTTTCTCAGTTCATGGGCAGTTATTTTGCGCCTTGGTTTTTCCACACGCTTCTTGCGACCCTGTTGACTATTTTGAATGAAACGCTTGATTGTTCGATGATCACGCTTCAGAAGCTTTGCAATTTTAAGAGTGCTGCATCCCTCTGCAAGATATCTCACTATTTTTGACTTTTCTGAGCCTGTCAAGTCCTTCTTTTGACCCATTTTGCCAAAGGAAAGGAAGTTGCCTAATAATTATGCACACCTGATATAGGGTGTTGATGTCATTAGACCACACCCCTTCTCATTACAGAGATGCACATCACCTAATATGCTTAATTGGTAGTAGGCTTTCGAGCCTATACAGCTTGGAGTAAGACAACATGCATAAAGAGGATGATGTGGTCAAAATACTCATTTGCCTAATAATTCTGCACTCCCTGTATAATTCAAAGTTGAGTTGTGATACAGTGGTTAAACTGACATGAGTGCAGATCTAGCATCATCTTCTGCACTGTTTGCTTGTTTTTTTTCTTTCTCTCTCCCCCCTCACTCTATGATCTTCACACAAGTATTTGCGACCCTCAGTGAGAATGTCTATTTTCTATCAAACCTGTGTCTTATCTGCACTTATTTCAATCTAACCCCTGTATCACAACTCAACTTTTATGTGTCGTCTTGCTCAGAAAAGCTTTAGACTTGAGAAAGGTAGGTTCTCCCGAAAGCTTGTCATTAAAAAACTCTGTTAGTCCAATAAAAAAGGTATTACAAGATACACATTTTATTTGTTTTTTTACATCTACATCACTGGACTAATACGGCTACAATTTCTCCTTGAACAATTATTTTGTATAAAGCTGCACGTCTGGGGACCAATCTCCTGACAGACTCCCAATTTCAGAATGGTAATCTTAGTCAGGTGCATAATGATAACTGCTTCATATTTTCTTATGTGTATTTAGGGGTCAATTCTGGGAAAAGGTTGTGAGTGAATCTAGAATGGTCCTAGGGGTGATGTTTCAAGGTGCTATAATGTGAAATTTGCAGATGAACTGGACGTGACATACTTGTATACTGTGGTCATCACACTTACTCACACATCACACTCAGAGCCAGCTATTCTTTAAAAGTGCACTGGATTTGGCCCCTGTCTGATGGCTGCTACCCCTCATAGACACTAAGCTGGCAGGAAATGATTAAATGTTACTTCCTTCCAACACACAAACAGAGAGCTTCTGGTGAGACATGGAGATACATAGGGGACAGAAGAGGGAGATAGCCTGAACCAGCCCACTCCCATTAACTTCATGCAGCTCCACCTAGTCTCAGATCGCTCCCACCTGCTGCACCCACCTATATATGGCAATGTACATGTGAAAACACCTATATATACCAACGCAAACACTAGACAAATAAACCTCTACATTCAAACATTAACATTTCACACAAATATATGCCTGCATTTACACTTACAGATTCTATATAAAAACATGTCTTAATTCAAACACAGATTTGGCACAGAAATACAAACCATAAAAGATGGGCAAACGGTGGATCCCAAGCAGGTGATGCAACATGACAGTTGTGCCACATTTGTAGATCTACCTTTTGATCACCCCTGCTCTATAGGGTCCGTCTCTTGCACGAGGCTCTCCTTTTTAACTGTCATGTTACTGGTGATTGACATATATCAAGTCACTGGTGCTTTTGGGACTTAAAACCCCCATTCCTTCTGACATTTTTATTCATATTTCATATACATACATTATACATTATACTCAGAGAATTTGAATAAACATAGCCAAGTACATAGGTGTCTAGGGTATATCAGGCACTGCTTCTGTAACCTACAAATTGTAGAAATACAAACAAACAAGATTCACACACAACCAGCTTACAGCAAAGGCTCACAAGCAAATGTACAATAAATATTTATGTATTTTTTTTCTACATGTACGTCATATATTATTTGCTTCTACTGCGTTGTTACCGGAATTTCTTAGTAAGAATAATTGAGTTGCAGTATAAATTCAAGTCTCTCCGGGACTCAAGAGTGTTAATCCTGCAGATTCTATTAATAAAATATATGGCCTAAATGAAAAATACACTACGTTGACTGTCTATATTATTTATCTTCTTGAATCATGTTATTCCAGACAGGAGGATTTGAGGTATTGTATTTTCAAAGTATATATATATGAGTTGTGTTTCAAAGCTGTTGTATTCAGCAGACACCTACTCCAAGGAATCCATGTTTAAAGTGGAATTATGAGGCAAAAATTTGGTTCTTTGTTGAGCTCATTTGCATATGCATACCCAGAATCCCTTGCAGTAGTGAGAGCAGTGTTAAAGTGAGATTTCTGTGGGAAAAGCAAGTCGTATGGCTTGACAGGTGTGTGTATTTGTGTTTAGTAAATTTTGACCTTGATATCCTAGAGGTTTTTGAACTCTCATAATGCCCATCCAAGATGCAGGGTGGTTGAACATGGAAATGGAGTTAAAACACATTTGGCGTTCCAATGTTAACCAGAATGATCTGTGTATCGTCTTACTTCGTTTTAGCAATCAAATATCTGTTTAGCCTCTGTCTGCAGCTCCCTGCAATTTGAATTGGAAATGAGTCAGTCAGTCCACCATTTACTAGGCATTTATGCTTTCTATTTCAGCAGTCAAGTTAATGTCTAATTCATCAGCAATTTTGCTATCTTCAATTAGAAAGTGCTGACTGTGACTGGAAGGTATTTTTAATATACATAACTTTTTAAACGCAGAATATTCCTTTTCCATTCACCAGCTACACAGAAAATAGTACTGAACTACAAACACCCGGTCTAATTGGAAGAGGGTTAAAAAAGGAGTGCACAATTTATTTATTTGCAGCCATAATATAGGAAATTATCTAGCACCCCCTAGTGTTGAATGTTGTTGTACATTTGTAAGCACAGGTTTTCATGAATAAATATTAGGATTGAGCTATATTCATATTATATAAATGACAGTTGTTTACAATAATAAAGATTAAGGAACAGTGTACACATAAAAATACATTTTTAAATGTTATAAGGCTATTTAAAATCACCCATCTCAGCACACAAATATAGCGATTCAGTTCCACCATATGGCCATCTTGTGTCAAGCCCACCACTTCTTCACAGTACCCCAATATCGGTGGGCCCTACACTAATTCCAATGTGAGAGACAAATTAAATAGTGCTAAATAAGCTAAATTGGATTTAAATAATCTGTTGTAAGAGCATTGTGAATATACATAGTTCTAAATTATAAATGATAAATGCAATTCAAAAAATGCAGTGTTAAAGGATCACTATAGTGTCAGGAAAAAAACCCATTTTCCTGACACTATGTCATCCTTGGGAGACCCTCACCCTCAGGTCCCCAACACGTGGCGCTGAACCCCTTCAGCAGCTTACCTTAATCCAGCGCCGGGCTCCCTTGGCGCTGGTGACATCTCCTCCCCCGCTGACGTCAGCTCCCGAGTGGAGAGGAATGCGCATGCTCGGCAGGTGCCGCTCGCACATTCAAAAAGTCCATAGGAAAGCATTTCTCAATGCTTTCCTATAGACGTTCTGCACGCTGGATGCGAATTTCGCATCCAGCGTCGCAGAAGCGCCTCTAGCGGCTGTCAGGAAGACAGCCACTAGAGGTTGGGTTAACCCTTCTCTGAAACTGCTATGTTAACATGTGAAGGGTTAAAACCTGAGGGACCTGGCACCCAGACCACTTCATTGAGCTGAAGTGGTCTGGGTGACTATAGTGTCCCTTTAAACTAAACAATTAAAGTGATAGTGCTTTGATGTATATACTCATAATGCATATCAAATATCTGCTCTATGAAAATTATAATAAATGTGACATTACAATAAAAAACCTCAACATTTAAATTTCAGTGATGTTTACAAAGGTAAATTAACCAAGTGAAATGTGCAGCCTGATGTTAACAAAGGTAAATGAACCAAGTGAAATTATCTGGCATCAGCCATTCTATGTCATGGGCATTGTAGCCAGTTTAACAAACGTCCGTATTGTTGTCATAACAAGTTGGTTGCGTGGCATAATCCATCTTTCTCGAGATCACCTTAGGTTCAAATCTTTGATGGAGCCAAAAAGCATGTATATGCACGGAATGGTGTACTGAAATACATTTTCTTTGATACTTGGTTCATCCAAACAAGATAGAGTCAGAGGAAAAATCCTAGTAAGTAGTGGAGCAGTACTGCTATTTCACAGTTTTAGTGTTTATGTTAACTTAAATGAAATATCTTGGTAATAATGAGATAAAAATATGTTGGGCAAAATGTCAAAAAGTTTCAAAATGAAGAAAATTTTGAATAATTTTGCACAATAGGTACACATGTAATACAAATATAGAATCCTTGTTAGAGACTAAATACAAGAACTGCAGCTATTTTAGATTCTCTCACACGATTTACATTGGGTTATACTGAAACCAAACAGAGGATAGATATATCACAATTTCAGTATTAAACTTGCAAAAATGTTATCATACAATAGTTATCTACCACCCATGACCCATGATGGAAGCACACAAAAGGCTTCAGATTTTAATCACTTAAATGGGAGTTGTGGGTGACTGAGAAGAACTACATACGTTCACTATTGATTCCCTGTTTAGGGATATTTGGTAGTTATACTACTCTTTGGCATTGAAGGGGTTAACCTCCCCATGCCGAGATTAGGTTATCGTCACTCCCTTAGCTCCGCCCACAAATAGTGCCGTCTGAATATTATTATGACGTCCAGAAAAATGGGCCGGCACTAGAGGGCTCAAAAAGTGGCGCCAACCATACAATAGATTAGCTCTTGACAAAGGCACACGTGGGCGCCAAAACGCGCGTTGAGCATAACCTAGTACACTATGTACTTTATTTAGGACATCTGCTCTTTTTTATTATTTTGATTGGGATTGGGGGATCTCCTCATTTATTATATAGGAACTGATTTATCTAGGTGACCGTATTTGTAGTCAGCTGTCCATTTGTACTTTGAGACTTTTTAGTTATCCTATTATAGGCTGGCGAGAATTGAGTAGTGTATCGATGTATGGTACACTGATCCACAGAGCACTTTCTCTCCCACTGAGTACTTGGCATCTAGTTTATACTACAGTTTTCTGTTTAATTTAATTTTATTCTCCTTGCGGGGACACTTTAGGTGTTTATGGTTTAGTATCATAGAGACTTACTCTTTCATCTATCAGTGCCGGACCAACCATACTACCTGTCTCTTTCTCACAGCAAGGTACTTTCAGTCGTGCTTAGCACTGGGGAATTAATGGAGCATTATAATCAGGGTTTATGATTTATGGTTTATGATTCTTCTGATGGCTAGTACCCTACTTTTATTATTAGTTTGGTTGAACACTGCCGCTCACCTCCCCAAAGACTCCTTTACCACCTTTGCGCACAATCGATTTTGGAGCTTCCCTAAACTTAGGAAGTACTGTGAATTTATCCGCTGGGGCTATACTCATTAGGCAATATTCATATGTGCAACTATATGCACGTTACTCTATCAAGGGTTTCATCGATATTTACTATCCCAACAGGATACATTGTACTTCTTTCCGTTCACACTTCGTATTCTATGTTGCTGGCCCACAGACA